CTAAATAAATGAAAAAATGGCCATTAAAATCTCATTTTGGCGAAAAACCCTAATCCGCTAAAAAAACCCAAATTATTACAGCCAAACTAACTATAATTCAAAATTATTACAACTTAACTAATTATAATATTATATATTGAAATTATAATTATTACTTTACATTTTATAATTATTTTATTAGACAAATAATAACAAATTAAAAATATTTTATAATATTATCTAATTTAAAATATATTATTGACAATTATAAAAAAAATAGTACATTATATGATTTATAATGTAAAAATTAATAAATAAAATAAAAGATTTAGTTATCAATGTAAAAATTAATAAAATGCATACAGATTTTGGAAATAACACTTCAATTTTTAAAAAGTTTAATTTTTTAGGTTTCTATAATAAATTTAGTGAAAAAGATTGTTAGTAGAAAGATGGAGATTTCAAATAGAATAAATTTTTTATTTTTTTATGCCTTTCATATTATTTATAAAAATAATTATACCACTACATACAACAAAAATTAACTACTATATAAAAAATTAACTTTTTTTTTCATTTTTTTATGCCTTTTATATTATTTACAAAAATGTTTATACCACTATATACAACAAAAACTACTATACAACAAAAACTACTATACAACATATATACAACGTTCAAGGGGATTCGACTTTGGGACATCAAAGCCAAAATCAAAAGCCATAACCATCACACCTTCTCGCCGAATATGATTATTAATTGTTGATTAATAGAATATATTTACATTCTTTTTTTATTTTATGATGTTTGAGAATTATCCCACATCGAATGATGGGTGTTCAACTTTGCTATATAAATACCTATGTAATGTAAAATAATATATATGCACGGTAACATTGGGGCAACTTCACACGTGGTGGCGAGTCCAACCTGACTCGGCCTATCCGATTCTCTCTAAACATGGGCGGTTCCCATTTTATCAATGAACAGGCTTGTTTTGTGGCGATTCTGAATCCGGCTCAACTCGGCATTTTTTTAAACACTGTGCTCGAGTGTGGGACGCTGTGCTCGAGTGTGGGAGGGGGTCTTATAATATCATTGTTCAGTTTTTATATATTGTTTTGTTCAGTTTTTAGATATTGTTTTTTAATTGTGAGTTTAAGAGAGAAGTGAAGGACCAAAAATTGGCGTAAAAATTATTTTATTAAATTGTTTTTTTTAAAAGTAGCGTATAGACGTGGCATTGTAATTGAGCCATCTCAACCGTCCATTCTGAATGGACGGATGGATAGGGAGAAGTACAGTTGGATAATCCAGCACCCTCTCTCTGTTGCCCCAATCTCTCTCCACTATCTCCTAAACAGTTTGTGGCTTCTCTCTCTGACAATCCAGCGCCAGTCTCTCTCTCTTATTTTTTTTTTTTTGTCTTCTTGGCGGTTACCATGGCTGCTGAATTGTTTGAGTTCCTGAGCTTCTTCTGAAATTAGGGTTTTCTGAAACTAGGGTTTTCTGAAACTAGGGTTTTCTGGCTCCGGAGGAAGAGAACACGAGCACTTGCAGAATACAGCTCTTCCTCACCAGTCTCTCTCTAGATGTACGCGTCCGTGGAGATACTCAAGTGGGAGCGCTGAAAGTCCAGAGAGAGAGGGGGGCGACTGCTTCAAAGTTCAAATCCTTCTTGAGTATCAATGGCGGTTCTTGAGTTGAGAGAGCTAGGCCACACAGGGCTCAAGGTCAGCTGCGTGGGCTTCGGTGCTTCTCCTCTTGGCAACGTCTTTGGCCATGTCGCAGAATCAGACGCTATTGCTTCCGTTTACGAAGCTTTTCATCTCGGCATCAACTTCTTTGACACCTCCCCGTAACATCTCTCTCTGCGTGTTTCTTTCCCTCATTCATTCAAAACCCAATTGTGATTTTTAATAAGTCCATAACCAGGGTCTAGTTTTACTTTTTCTCTCTCTGCACCGAAATTCAACTGATTTCACGTCTCTCTGCGTGTCTCTTTGCCTCTTTCATTCAAAACCCAATTGTGATTTTTAATTAAGCTCATATGTTTAGTTTTACTTTTTCTCTCTCTGCACCGAAATTCAACTGATTTTGTTTTATCAATTATTTCTGATGTCCCTCTTCAAATGCCATGTACAGACCCTGATTCTTCTTTTTCTCTCTCTAACACCAAAACCCGACTGAAAGTTTTGATTAATTTTCTCAAATATCTAACTCTAATTCCATATCCAATCTCTTCTTCTTCTCCTTCTTCTTTATCTCTCTACGCCAAAACACATCTGACATTTTTTTTTGTTTATATCGTTTCTATTAATATCTTCCCTCTCCATAACTCATGAGCAGTCCCTGCTTCTTTTTTCACTCCGTACACCAAAATTCAGCTATAATACGTGATCAGTTCTCTCTGTCATCCCTCTCCAAATCCCCCTATCTGATCTCTGCTACTTCGTGTCCTCTCTCTATTCCAAACCCAACTGAGATTTTCTTTATTAATTCACGATAACACCCTTCTCCCAATCCCATACCCAATCTTGATTGTTAACTCTATGAGAAAACCTAATTAATATTTTTTGTTTTTCAATTCATTGTTTGTTCATAGGTTTTATGGTGCTACCCTATCAGAGAGTGTTCTTGGTAAGGCATTGCAGTCTCTGAATGTGCCAAGGGATCAATTCATAGTCTCCACTAAATGTGGACGTTATCTGGAAGGTTTTGATTTCAGTGCAGAGAGAGTGACAAGAAGTATCGATGAGAGTCTTGCCCGGCTAAAGCTTGACTATGTAGATATTCTTCATTGCCATGATATTGAATTTGGATCACTTGACCAGGTAACTAACTTCGTCCTCCTTCGTACATCTTTGTGTTCTTCAATGCATTCTACTTTTGCGATAGGTAGTCTATGAGTTGTGAGAACTTTTCTTTTCATGTTCCTTCTTCTTTCTTATGAATATATTGCTTCCACTGTTCAAGTGAACTGCTTTTTGGTATTGTTTAGATTTTGAGCCCAATTCCTTTGAATTATTTACTTTTCCTCTTCCTTCTTTCTTTATTTCTTTTTGTTTTGATGAAATTATCTTTACCCTGATCAAGTGCGCTTCCTTTTTCTCTTGGTTTCTTCTTAAAATTTTGAACCCACTTCATTTCCACTTTCCATAATCAGGTTAACTCATGCATGAGAAATGTTTAAAAAGTTTTTTTTAATCAATTTTTAAATGTTTAAAAAGTTTTGCCCTTTTCAGCAAATAGCAACAATCATAAATGATCGTTTAAATGTTTACTTTTTCAAATTGTTTGGAGCAATATGTGGTATAAAATTTCATTCGTTTTGTTGTTTCTGGTTAGCCAAATCAATGCTTTCTGACTTTTGTGAAATTATAGAATTGCGAGTTGCTTCTTTTAATAGTTTAGTTTTGCTTGTTGAATGCAATAGCTTTGCTTTCTTCACCACACTATAGTTGGCTGTTTATGTTGAACTGATTATTGTCATTATTAAGGATACACTCGTGATTAAGAAATGGGGGTTGGGGGGTCCCTGCAGGTAGTCAATGAGACAATTCCCGCACTTCAAAAGCTTAAAGAAGCTGGTAAGGTCCGATTCATTGGTATCACTGGCCTCCCTTTGTCGATATTTACTTATGTGCTCGATCGAGTAGCTCCTGGTTCAGTAGATGTGATACTATCATATTGTCATTATTGCATTAATGACTCGTCCCTAGAAGACCTCATTCCTTACTTGAAGAGTAAAGGTGTTGGTATAATTAATGCTTCTCCATTTGCGATGGGGCTTCTTACAGAGGGGGGACCACCTGAATGGCATCCTGCATCTCTCGAACTTAAGGTAGCATGCGCCTCATAACCATGGTGTTTTAATTTCTACATGTCTCTTATTTTCCTTAACCAAACATGTGGCTATAGTACTTTGAGTGCTTCGTTAGTGCTTAAAATTTTAGTTAGTCATTCTTTTCATTCATTCCTCACATCGATAAATGTCTTTGTTCTTACAAGTGTCCAAACTCATGGAACTTTAGTCGATTGTTCTCATGGACTATATATACAGGCTATTGTGTAGAACATATCCCCATGAAATTGCATGTCTTCATTGGTAATGGTTCAATCAGATTTAAGTGCGTATCTGAATTTGATAGTGCTCAAAAGCCTTGAAAGAGTCTAATTTACCAATAGTTTTTAAAGTCTTAAAGGAGAAGTCATGGCTGTATGTGATGATCCCTTATGTGGCTGCTGCATTCTCACGCAGATGGCTTGTCATTTAAGTCCCCTCTAACACAGATGGCTCATACTTTTTCTTGGATGTTTGTGTAAGATGCTTTTTGTTGATGAGTTTTATTTTCAAATTGTAAGTCGTAGCTGGATACGTGCCTACTACTTAAGGTGTTAAATTCAGATTGAGGATCAGTAGGTATGGAAGACGGTATTCCGGGAATTCCTAAGACTGTGTTCTAATTTAAAGCTTATATCAAATTCATGAATGAACGAAAGCATATGGCATTGCCAAGTGCCAGCTATGTGGTGCTTAGTTAGTGGAAAATCAGCATTTTTTTCTCTAAAAATCAATTGATGATCATGGAGATTGACATGACTGGTAACTAAACAGAAGAGATTGACTTCAGTGAAAAGACTCAAAACTTTCTATTTCTACCAATAAAATTGGAAACTAATTTGTATGGATGTTTAAGACATACATATTTTTTCTAAATTATATATATAGATGTTTTAGCTCAAAGGAAATTAACATGGAAAACAATGAACAATTGAAGTGAATAAATAAGACCATGCCTAAGCAAGCAAGTGGGTGACTACAGTGTTGAAATTGAATCTGCTAATGGTGGAGCACATGCCATTGATCTATCTGGTTCTTTCATTGTACTGAAGTGATGTGATGTGATTCTTGTTCAATTAGAAAGCACAAGCACGAGTTGTTTTTTCATAATTTCGATGAGATTCTTGTTCAACTGGAAGGCATGAGTACGAGTTGTTTTCATAATTTTGATGATAAAAATATATATATCATGAGATCATTTCTAGATATACCATTAGGGTAAATGCCCGCCATTGTGAATTACATGATTACATAGATAGAAGAGAAAGGATGATGTCACACAAATTGATACTTTGAATTCTTGGCATAGTGAACTAGTTTTAAACTGTAGAATAAGCCATCATTTCTCTGACCCTGTAATATTGATTGATTTTCTTAACCTTACGCTGCAACTATTAGAAGTGGAAGGTGCAAAGCTGTTTTCCATGTGGAGCAAGTTCTTCTCATGTCAAGTTCATGTCGAACTGTATTGAAGTTGCCCATACAAGACGCGCTTAGTTAATAAATGCAAACTTAAAAGACATATTTGGTCTATGAATCATGCACTTGAGCTCTATTTATTGAGGAGCTGGGAAAGAAGCTCTAAAATGATGCAATATGGCTATACTTAACCACTGTGTATCAAAGTAGTAGGCAGCGTATCTATACGATTTACATCTTTCTTCAATCGCAAAATGTACTAACCCATAATTATATATCAGGAAAAGCATTGGTTGACTCTTGCTACATAGTGAGCTGGCTTAATATAAGATACATTACGGGGTATGATTTCGATTTCAAGATTTTTTTTTTCTCAGTGATATTTATGATATCTAAATGAAAATGCAAGAAAAGGTTTCTTGAAGTTCACTTCTCAAGAAAACAAAAAGGTTGCTTTACGTTCATTTCGATAAGTTCATGGGTTTCATCTTTCATATGTGTGTGTGTGGGCGTGCGTGTGCGTGTGTGTGTGGATAGGCATGGAGCATTGGTTACTCATCCTTGAAAACATTATATGAGTTTCACAATATAAATTTTTAAATGAGGATAGTTATCAAATTTTTTTTTTTTAAATGAGGATTATCAATGACCAACTTCACTCAACTGTGCAGTTTTAGAGCTTATATCATCTGAGGGCTACAACGTAATTGCCTCTTTCCTTAATTTCCAGTTTCTTTATTCTTCACTATTCTTTTCCTTATCAGTTTATTTCTTCTTTCTTTTACAGTCTGTATGCAAGGCTGCAGCGGTTCATTGCAAAGAGAAAGGAAAGAACATTTCAAAGTTAGCCCTGCAGTACAGCTTGAGGAACAAAGAAATATCATGTGTGCTTGTTGGCATGAACTCTGTAGGACAGGTTGCTACTCTCTCCACTAAGTAATAATTGAAAATGCATGGGAATCTAGCTTTTTGTTCTATTAGAAGATGAAAAAAGAAAATCCGTTTTATTTTCTGATTCAGCATGTTTTCTGTCTAAATATTTAGATAAGTACAATGTCTTTGATACAAACACTAGCATGTTTTCTGCAACATAAGGTTTCTAAGGTCATCCTTATCCGGTGAGGTTTCGATATTTCTATGTTTTGTTTCTTACCGTGCTGCGAGTGACATCTTGTATTTTCTAATATGGAAAGGAATTGTTCTTTTCTTGGAAAGCTTGACGATTAAGGCCTTTTATCAGAGTTTCTTGTGCACTTTTGGGGTGTATGGGAATGTTCTTTGATGAAAGAAGCTCAAATCATTTTTTTAGCCATTGAGCCCAACATTGGGCCTTTCTAAATTAGCAAGTCTGCATGCATGCAAAATCACATTGGTTCCTTTATCAGTGTCAATCTACATTTTAATCTCTGAGTTTGCTTTGGTGTAGAAATATCTCATCAGTAATTATTTCCTTGTCTCTAACTCAGCTTATCAAGTACATATTGAAGTCTTGGCAATTTTGTAGGTTAAAGAGAATGTGTCTTCTGCCTTGGAAATTTCAAGTGCGGAGAAATCGGTGGATGACCTGTTGCAGGAGGTGGATGCCATATTGGGTCCAGTGAAGAACCGGTCCTGGCCTAGTGGCATTCCACAAAATTAGCAGCCTCACTGTATGAACACACATATCCCTTTTAGGGCATAAGGGATCTTAAGATGCTCATATTTCAAAAAGTTCATGTTTTGAAATGTTTTCGTTTCATGCCTCCATTTTTTCATTACTGGTTCAATTTATGCATCTATTTTTAGTCCTTGGTACTTTATTTCCCCAGTGCTAATTTATTCCACACATACACACACATCAACCTAATTGCAATAATTGGAGATTGTCCCTATTGTACATCACATATTGCATTGGATATGGGGTTTGAACCTATGCATCTCAGGTGAGCCCCTCCACAACTGGATTTCACCTTGCGTTGGATTTTTTTTTTGTATTGCATGCATATATTGTTTGGGGCCATGAATTTTTATTTGATAATTGCAGTATTTCTCTGCCAAAGGTATTTTGTCATTATAATTAACTTTTAGGATCTTAGTTTTGGGAAAAGTTATATTGTGGTTTCTGCAATTAGG